GAAGCGCGACGAATTTATTTTTTACAAATGACATGTTATTTTTTATTTTCACTACGATCGCTCACGATCCAGTCTATCGTGGAGTTGACACACAGCGACATGTGTACATATTCGATCGCCCTCGTTACTTTGGTCCTCGTGCGTATTACGGAAGAAAAAAAATTGACGAAACATCGACTCGGTATGCGGGATGGTCCGCCGATTAGCGACACGACTGAGCGATTCCACTACGGGAATCCGTTGAAATATCGAGGCAACGGGCCATCCTATATACCGGAACCTTTTATACAATGTATGTTCGCTCTATTCGATAATGCGTTTTTTTTTTCGTTTTTAAATGTGGTATCATCTTTATATATACGTACGTGCGTACACACAAACATTTATACATGCGTATATGTATGTGTGGGCACGTGTGTATACACATATTATACATAGATACATGCGTAAGTGCGTGCAGCGACATTGCAAAGCGTGCAATATTAAACGTGCAATGCTCACTTGTGATTTTATTACTCCTGTAAGATCAGTTGTTCCTTCGGGACCTTCGGTGCCTCTTATTGTCTTACAATGTGCCGTGAATGTGAAGTGGATCAGGTTTTAATTTCGCTAGTTTATTTATTTATACTAACGAGATCTGTGCTATAAAAGTTGTTAAATTTAACTCAATCGGGGGGAGGGGGTGTAGAACTTCAAAAATCATGAAGAAACTAAATATATACATATATATACACACACACATGAGTGTTTAATTTATACGTTATTGAAAGATCAATAATATTGTACATACAAGTCTTCTTAGATGTACACAAAGTGTGTGCGTACGATCGTGTACGTAAACCTTTTCGAAGGAATAGCTTTTCTTACGTATATATATACACGCGCGACACCGACACGTGGACATCGTGTCCACGCGATTTCAACAAAATGTCCGTAGATCCCAGTACAGGGTGCATTTTTAACTCTAATGATCAATAGCAGGAACAATACATTTCTCGGAAAACGGTATTCTGTAATCTACGGTAGGATCACTGGGATCGGAGAATACGTTATACACATAACGTTGCATAATAGAATTATCGCGGTCGTTCACAATGAACGATCTGGTATATCACTGTTGCCGGATACACGATAGTCTTTATACACGAATGACGAGCATTAATCTAGATGTGTATCATAAACGTCGATAAGTAGACTGTGCATTAGACGACATTTTAATCAACGATATAGGACGGCTCGTTGTTCAACGCACATTTATTTTGCGTAACGGAGGTATATCGCGATAGCAATCTCACCTTGCTGTGCGTTGACAAAGGATGTTGCCCTTACCGAGAGTATTTGTTGATCGCGCGTGTAATCATTCTTCTCTCGATAATTGTAATATAGTTGTTTTGATTTTTTTTTCTTTTTTTTTGTGGATAGATGTAAAGAGAAAATAGAGCCAATGTTGAGTACAAAAATAAAGTAACCATGAAGATCGAGAACAAATTAAGAAAGTGCAACTTATAGAATTATTATTTACAGATCTATAATTATTTACATCGAGATGTGTGTTATATAAAGTGAAAATGTGTACAGGAATTTTTAGAATTATTTAGGTATCTAGTGTAAAAGCTGATAATGTAAAGGATAACATGTAAAGTAAGCGGTGAACGTTTTACGGCGAACGATATCTTTCGAAATGATCCGTTTTATATACAATAAAGATAAGATTAAGAAGATTCACCGCGAGGTGACGAGATTGCTGCGAGGCCTCCGTTATGACGAGAGAGATTAATGCGGCGAACATGAGAGCCGTCCTCGTATATAGCGTTATTCTGCCACTTTAATGTTTTACAACGTTAGCATTGTTCACTAAATGCATCGTATCTGACTATAGCGTAGGGACTTTTGTGTTCAATTTGTTGAAACTTATTCAGAGAAGTTATGTTGTTGTTACGTAGGGGAGTATGGAAAGTCTATATAAATATAAATATATATATATATATATATATACAGATATATATAGTATATTACATACATACACACAATATACGTGTGTGCATATATATATATTTATATGTAGAATAAAGCAATATTGCATTCGGACATATTCTTTTAACAATATTCTTACATATACACATATACATATATATATATATGTATATATATATATATATATATATGTATATAAAAGAGATACTCAACATTTGAAATGTTCCAAACTTTGTCACTGTGTTCAAATTGTAGGGAATGCAAATGTAGGGAAAATTGCGAAAAGCCGAACGCGAGAACGTACCCCTTTTTTAAATGATAAGTAGTTAGTTAATTATTTTGTACAGCGAAAGCCACGCTCGAGAATGACACGCTCGATATATTTCACACTCACACACACACACACTCGACAGTAAAGTGCAGCAAAACAAAGTGAACGGAAAGAACAAAAAAAGAAATGATACTTTTTATACATGTAGAGAAAATTCGGAACGTAAAGCGGGTGACGAAATATCATGCGATTAATATGATGCGATTAAGAACGAACGATCGGCCAGCACGAAAAGCACGTTTTGTACTTATCCCATTTTTCATTGAAAAGCATCTTAGCGCTTTGAATCCCGTCACGATACCATCACCGTTCGTCAAGTATGCGCGTATCACTCTCTCTTTCTCTCTCGATCGAAATTTATCTAAACGGAAAGTTCATAAGAGTCGAACGGTAATGGTAATCAACAAACCGGCGAAATCCGGTTGATAAGCGCAACACGATCTTCGCGGGGATAAAAAAATTGACCCGTCGTGTACGAGACGAGATGGATTCAAAGTGTTATAGTGTATCGAGTAATGTAATTTACGGACGTATATATCGCGGTGCCTTTCCTTCGCCCGACCAACAAAAGCGACTCGTTGATTTGTACTACAGTTATCGTTAAGCGTTTTCTCAGCAGCGGCGGAGTCGCATCTCACATTTTCCGCGACGGACTCTCTTGTAATAACGTGACGTAACGTAAAGTGATCGATTCCCCCGCGAATTGTCGCTTAACGCGCGCCTGAAGAACGTATTAATGTTTGGATCATTTCGATTGTAGGGTAAAAGCACTATATAAACGTATATATATATATATTTTACACACACACACTGCTGTGTCATAAGCGTTGTAAGAGTGATTTTTCTTGCGTGATTACGTGACGATAATATTGTCACCCCCTCCGAACGGACGTTGAGAGAGAAACGGTCGGATTTCCGATTCGACCAACCTTTTTTTCCGTGCGAGATCTGTCGAGTGCGAAAGAAGCATCGTTACCGTTCTTCGTCGTTACGCGATACATGAGTTAGAACGAGACGACGCGTTCCCTGAAATTCCGGCAAGTGATAAATTTGTCAATCAGCGAGTCTTTATAACAGCGAAAGGTATATATATACATATATATTTGCTTTTACACGAATGAGAGATGCGCAACCCGTCTCAGCCCGGAAGGAAGAAACAGTCGAAAGTCTCTCGAAATCGGAAAAAAAAGAAAAAAAAAGAGACGAAAGAAAACCGTCACTCTTCGCGTTCCGTTCGTTTTGTTGTACGATTAGGCAACCGATCTTTGCATTTCTCAATGAGTTCAAACACATACACACACACACACACTATATATATATATATATATATATATATAGTTCTGTTCGATATTTCTTTGCTTCTCGTGTTACCTGTAAACGAGAAAACATACATTCGAGCAACATATTTTCAGATCGCCGACTGTACTACCGTTTGTACTTCGTAAGTCGAGAATCGATATGAGAGCGTGCCGTGTCGGATGTATTCTCGATGCTGTTCCGTGTGCTTACACTCGAATTACGATCAAGTCCGTAGTGACGTTTTAAACACTGTATCTTCTCTCTCCCACCGGCGTTCGACCGCTTTTGTTTCACGAAAGGGTTCCCGGGAGTCGCGCGGGAGGCCCTTCTTGCGAGCCGCATCGGACAGCACACACCGGATTCCAGCCGACTCGATACGATTTTCCGCTTATCAATCAAATTTCACGCTTCGAATTACGCGTTCGTGAATACGCTGAGTGAATAATAAGTAGCGCTTTTGGAAATTTCGATTAGGGCATGCTGTCGGCGCGCGCTTTAAGTCTTCTCGCTTAGTAACGAGCGAGGCGGCCAATCGGCGAGCGTAGTCGCGTGGTAGGACTCCGGATCGGGACTACTCGCACCCGCTAATTAGATAAGAGTTTCTTCTGTCGTGTGTGTAGCGTTCTACGTGCGTAGCGTGAATCGTCGCAATGCGTTGTCTGCAAAGGTGTCGAAGGTGTCGCAAGTCGTCTCGCTCGAGTATCGTCGTGATCGGAGAAAGGGAAGGATTTCTCTCTCTCTCTCTCACTCAACAAAATTCTATTCGCACGCTAATTGTAAATATCGCACATGCACACAGCGACGCGGCATTTTCCAATGATCAGGCTCGATAGTTCTTTTTTTCCGGAATGCGTTGAGAATGCCATGACCAAGCCAATTTGTCGTTGACTTCGCCGGCGGACCTCTCGTCATAGTTTTCAAGTTTAAAGAGAAATCCCGTCGATTGTTCCCCTCGATCCTCCCACGGATCTCTTCGAGTTTTTATCCCGAAGGGGATGTGCGAATTCGTTTAGAAAAGTTCACGTGTTCGGTTGAGAAAGAGAAGAAAAAAGCTGCCACATTTATCTTTTTCCATAAAAAAGATGAGAAATATAGTTTCAAAGGCTCGGAAAAATTGAGGAAAAAATTCGACCTTTTAAAACTGTGTAATGAGGAACCGAAAAATCACCGGTAAAACTGGGGGGGGGGGGGGAAAANGAAACCATATTTCTCGTTTACTACCGAAGTGCACTGAATTGCCTCAACACCTGTTTACCGTATTGTATGCAGGTGCAACGCGCGTAAGATTGAACAATCGTGCGGGTGAACGCAGTTTGAAGCGTCAAGGCGTTTTACGCAGCCTGATCTGAGCTTGTCATTGCAAAATGCCGCGGAGTGCGGCAGTTATACCGTCAATCTGATCGATTGTTTCAATTGATTGTACTTATCTAGTCAGAATGCATTAATTACGACGATCATCGGGCTTCTCTCTGTCGCTTATACACTTTTATTTTAAGATCTCGCGCGTGCGCGCACGGTATTAAATAACATATGTGTACAACGATATATTTTAAACACACACACACACACACACACGCGCGCGCTTACGACGATTCTCCACTTGGCGGGAAAGAAACGGCACGATTTGTATATAACGAGGAAAAGGAGGATGTATAATCGGGTTCTGAAAGGCGGCGGCACGCTTTGCGACGCCTTCGCTTTTGTAGACAGAGCGACGGAGTTTTAACATTGTTGTCGGTAGTAGATTATCGTCTGATCAAGAACGAACGCTCGGCCGTTGCGTCGCACACTCTGTATATATACATAAATATTAATATATTATATATATACGAATGCGCAACACGGAATGCACGCAAGATTGTTCAAAAAAGGTGTGTTCAGGCGTCCACCGCGCGCATCCGAAAATCACGCTGACGAAAATCCACGCGGGTTTTGCTAACCGACAAAGCGACATTCGCGTCCCTCCCACTTTCTTTTGATAAACGGCAATTACACAGCAACAACTCTATTATATTAGTTCGATCGTTTCGATATCGAGCATCGATAACTGCGATATTTTTTGTGATATATAAGAACGACAAAAGGATGCGTAGTGTCATATATTCGAATAAGAGTAGCCTCGCAAGCGACACGTACATGCACTCTCGTTCTAGTTTTGTCGCTTGTGTATCTCGTTTTTTGCTTCTAAGACGTGGTGACCATCTTATAAGAGTGTTAACGCAAAATTATGAAGTATCTCAGTGTTACGTCGATTTTATCCAACTCTGTTTCTCGTTTGAATTCACCGTCTCATCGCGGTTCGACGTTCAATCAGCTTCGAAATATAGAAAAATGCGTCAGCGGAAATCAAGGTCCTGACCATTGAGATGATCAATCGTTGTCCTGCGGTCGAGGGATGGACGCGTTATGCTTGAATGTACGATATTTTTTTTTTTGTTCACAACGAGTAGAATTAACACCGGTTGTTCTACTTCTCAAGGTGACCGATATCCGTTTAAACGAGAAGGAAATTATTAAGGCTGCGTGCGCTTTTTCTGAACATCTCTCGTGTGTATATCTCTGAAATCGGAGAAGGAAGTAACATTTTCGATGGCAACTTCGGTGATCTGAGCAGACTGACAATGAAGAAGCACTAGGGAAAATATTAGAATCTCTAATCGAACATCCTGTATATTCAAAAGTTTGATTTCGACCGCATCACTAATTGCGCCTGCCCATGCGACCGTCTTGCGATTCGACACCTCATAACACAGTTCATGGCAGTTTTTCTATTTGAAAAAGGAAAAAAAATTCGAATTATATACGCATCAACAGACAGACGTACACACATGAACATACCACACACACTTATAGTATACACCACACTTTGATTCGACGATTTTACAAATATATTCTACTCAATACAATATCGTGGACATTTAATGTTAGTATGATTGTATTAACGCCATTAACGACTTACAAAATACATAAATCATGTATGGGGATGTAACACATATTTAATAAATACTTTTGCAAATCAGTTCGCACGCTCCTCTGGCTTCTCTTTGCATCATCTTCGTCTCCGTCCGATTCGCGATGATAGATCGAGGGGAATTATTCGTCCGTAAAATTTCTACACGTTGGAGTGTTTTTTTGAAAATATTTCCATGTTCCGGTAGCAACCGCGCGCCGCCGAGGAATCGCGCGGCTCGAAGAGATATCGACTCGGTCGCGATCTTCCGGTGACGCGCAGTCACAACATACGATATATTTAAATATATTATAATACAAATTTCATAAATGTATTATTCGTTTTTCATGTATTTCATAAGTGTATATATCTCAGAATAATTTATGAAAAATATATTTTTGTATGAAAATGTATGTAGCAAAGAAAGCAAGTTAATTATTTTTCTTCATTAACCGGGCCAGAAGAAACGGATATCGTCGCTAAGATAATTCGTAATAAAAATAAGAAATAACGAATAATAATAACCACTTCTTCAAAATTATACATGGGATCATATATAGGCAAATTTCATGTATGATCTTTCTTTTCCTGGGTTGATGCGAGCGTTACTTGAATTCAAAATGCAAGACTAAAAGTCTTCCGAAAAGATTACAATATTTTCGCTTACATGCGAGAATATCTTTATTCAAGGCAATTCTGCATTTTTCTTTCTCAAACTTTCCGCGTAACGCATAATGTTATTATGTGTATCATTATTATGTTACACATCGGCATAATCCCCGAGACGGGAATGAAAGATTCCGATTGGTCGATTCTCTTGTGCCCCGTGCGTCTGCGTTTGCGCATCGAGGCCCGTACGCGCTCGGTGCGCGCACGCGCGTTGCGCAACCAGCCGATGGATTGTCAGGCCTGAGACGCGAAATAAAGCCCCTACCACGGCTTGTTATTGCTGGATAAGCGCCGGCCCCCACGAAGCGCTCACAGTTCCGCGCTGCTCCGCGCTGCTCCGCGCTGCTGGAAAGGTTAAAGGATCGTCGTCGAGCGAGCGGACGATCGCGCGACGACAACTCTGCTCCGTCGAAGGCGCCGAGGCAGGCAAGGCAAGAAGGGGTTATGAGGCTCCAACGGCACCGCGGACGCGCCGTTAGACGATACTTCCGCGTTATCCCGGACGACGTGCGCGACGGCCTCCACCATGGCGGAGAAGTGCAAGGTACGTGCGAGAGGATTCCGTCGAGTCGCTCGGCGAAAAAATTGCCAACGTGGCTGACAGCTGAGAGAGAGAGAGAGAGAGAGACACACGACTGGCGACTCGACGGTGATTCATCCCCCCGTCCCGATAAACAATGGGAATTGCCCGGCGTCGACTCGCCTTGCCACACGACGACTCCCGTCGATCTTCCCTTCCTTCCGATTAATCGCCTTGTCGTCTCGTTGATCCTCTGCTCGCGCGAGCGTCTCTTGGATATCGCGATATTATATTGTATCGATGCGACGAACCTGGTTGCATTCGCGTAATATTAATATAAATCGTGTGCACGCGCGGCTGTCTCGCCTCTTTCGTTCTGCTTTGAGAACCGTCTGTACGAATTATTCCGATATATCGTGTGTCCAACAGCAGGGTACGGTGAAATGCGATCGCAGTATGATATATTGCGATATATATCGCGATGTCAACGACGCCGATGATTCTTCGCGTCGGCTTTTGTACGTGTCGCTGTAAAGCCGAATAGTTAATTCGATCTCGACTCGTAATACCTGGTCGTTAATTTCTGCAATTGTCGGTTAAAATTAATCTCATGCAAATTGATATCGTTATGTCGATAGTTTCTTCTTTACACACGATCAAATATCGCAGCTCTCGTTTGTAACTCGAGATGCATTCAGATACATTTAAATGAACATGAAATATATGTTGAAATAATTCGAATACCCATTTTTTCTGAGGTACGCTCGTCGTTATTAATTGTCGATTATTCTCGTAGGAGATAACATTATTGTATACATCCTCAGCCGCTTATCAAGTCGTATCTCCACGCAGGAATGTGGCTGTAAGTGCGGCACCTGCGGACAGGACGGTCGGCAGCATTGTGATATGCATTTGCATGCGGAGATAGAGAACTTGCGCCAGCGTTTATTGGAGAGGGACAACCACATCGTGACGATGGAGACGCAGTTTCTAAACGAGGCCGATAAGTTCCCGAACGGCGAATTGGCTTCCACGAAGGAGGAGCTGCTGATATGGCAGGAGAAGTACTCGCGTCTGCACGAGGCCCACAAGAGGGTTCAGAAGGTCAATCAAAATCTCGAGGACAAGCTGCTGCGAATAGTCGACAAATGCGAGACGGAGAAGGGTGCCTTCACGAAGGACATTGCAACCTTGTCGCATAGATTGGCGGATGCAAATTTTACCATTCATCGGTTAACCCAAGATAACGTGAGTATTTTTCGCTGTTACGCGACACGTTCCTATTTCTATTGCATTATTTTGCGATAACAGTCCCCTCCCGGACAATTTGAAGACGACCTTCCCTCGGCAAAAATGTCAAAGGAGATAACCGTTTCTCGCGATTATTCAATTCCTAACATTAACTGTCCTCGCAGTTAAATTCCTCAACATTTTATCGACGCATATTCCAGTCCGAAGTTAACTGGAAAACGCAATTCCCTTGGTTTCGTTTGATTTCCTAGAGGTCTTATTTGCGAAAAGCTCATTCTCAACCTTCTAACAAGGTGAATTTTCAGCGTATCTGGGAAAATGGGGTTGGATCCGATCCCAGGCTCGGTTTTGCTCATTTTTCATGTAACCCATGCACAAAATGAGTAAAACAAGTATACAATAACACGAAATAACGTTGTAAAGTAAACGAGCCACGAGGTCGCATCCGACCCCCCAACCTTTTCATTAGAGTGTTAATTGTCCCTAGTTTGGAAATAATCGGAGACTCGACATATTCCTTAAAACAATTCAGCTCCGAATTCTCAAGAGAATCTGTCATTTGAAGTAATAACACGATAGAAATGGAACCGTCCTATATAACGGGATGCTCTAGAAATCGTTTTAGGTAGTTTCCTTCAATACTATTCACAATTCAGATCTGCACACGATAATCCGTATACAATGAATTTAGATAACATCTCATCACTTGCGGAAGGGATACATGTAATGTTTCCTTTTCAGGAGAAATACAGAAACGACGTTAGTTTGGCGATCCAATTGCTGCAGTGCAAGCCTTCCAACTTCGTGGGTCAGAAGTACGACTCGGTAAGACGTCGTCACGCCGAGCGAACCCGACGATCTCAATTTATAAACGCGCATAAAGTAAAACAGGATATAACGATGTGTCACACGATAACGATCGCGTTTGCGTAACATCGTAAGATTAGTTCCGGCGTGAATTTCACGCCTCTGTCGTGTCACGTGAGGCTGGGGCGAAATGCTGCGATGACATTTCCCTCGTATTTATATAACCGTTCCGCTCTCATGCACCGGCGATGTTACCTGCACGCGCATGAGCGAACTCTACTCCTTTGCCGGTTCGTCCCGATAAGAGCCGCACTTTTTAATTACCATTTGAAAATACCTTTGTTATCAGGCGACGTAAAGTCACGCTTTGTTTGTTATCGCAGCTGCCGTCCGAGGTGCAGGCGAAGGTGCGCACGTACGTCGCGCAGAAGCGGTGCCCGGTCGACGCAGCGGCGCAGCCGACGTCGTCGGACGTGAAGAGCATCACCGTGCCGATATCCACGTTCCCGCCGACGGCGATGGTGTACAACATCACGAAGCCGACGACGGAGAAGCACAGCGACGACGACGACACCGGCGGCGGCGTCGGTGGCGACGAGTGTAAGCCACCGGTGGACGTCGTGTCGGCCGCCATAATGGCGAAGGTGCTGGAGGACCGCGAGAAGGAGAGGATCTTCGCGAAGCACTGCGACACGTGCACGTGCCACAGGAGCATCCTCATGGTAGACGCGGAGACGCAGACGACCTGTCCGCCTGCCGATGATCAGCAACAGACGCAACGCAACCGGAACCTCGAGAAGTCGCACGCGGAGACGCCGAACGAGAAGCACCAGCAGAGCGCGGACAAACTGCCGGCGAGCTCCGCGCACACCGTCTTCTACGAGATCAACGAGAACGTCGCGAACGGCGAGAGGCGGCACCACGTGATGAACGGCGACTGCGCCGCGATTTACGCGCAGACCGGCAGGAACGGCAGGAGCGCTCCTCACCAGGATCGCCCGACCGAGGAGAACTGCGCGACGAAGGCCGGCTTGAACAAGAAGAGTTCCTCGCACGAGGCCGGCAAGCGTTCGCCGTCGACGTTCTCGCGGCTGAACGATCTCAACAGGTTAAACGCGGACAAGGCGAAGCCGCTCAGGACAGCCGGCGGCAAGAAATGCGAGCCGCTCGAGGACGGATCCACCGCGAGGAACTGCGGCAAGAGCGAGAGGGGGGGCGGTAATTTCGAGCACCTCGGCGGGGCGACGCTCGCCGACAAGGAACAGACGCGCATCGACATCATCAACGACCGGCTGTGGAAGAACGAGTGGACGAAGTGGAAGTCCGAGGTGGGCGGCAGGGACGGCAGGTGCCGGGCGAGCCGCGGCGGCATCGAGCTCGACGTAATCAACGACCGCGACTGGAAGAACGACCGGTCGGCGGAGGCGCGGAGCGCCGGGCAGTTCACGCTGATCGAGGTGAAGAGCCCGGACAACGGCGACAGCCAGACGGAGGTGGCGACCAGTCCGAGCTTCAGCAGCGACAGCATGGTGATCTCCAGCTCCGACCCGTCCAGCAGCTGCAGCGACGTCGCGCAATCCTCGACCGGCGGCACGGTCTTCAACAACCACGCCAAGTCCGTCGGCCGCGTCACCGGGCCGAGGAACTGCCTGGTGCGCGTCACGCCCGGCTCCAAGAACATCCTGCTGGACAACGCCGGGCATTACAAGAGCGTGCTATACAGCAGCACCGGCAAGGCCAGCACCGCCCTGGTGCACGCGAAGAAGGCGTCTCGGGCCGGCTCCGAGCGCTCGGCATCGACCAGCAGCGAGGACAACAACTCGCCGGTACTGTTGCAGGACAATCAGCTGCAGCGGGTGGCCGAGTGGGTGCAATCGTCGCTGGACAACTCGCACGCCGGCAGCAACGGCGAGAAGTGCGGCCCGTCCGTACGTCCGAACGAGTCGAAGAGCAAGTCCTCCGGGCGGGACGCGCCGAAGAATGTCGAGGGTTACCGCGAGAACGGCGCGAGCGAGCCGCTCTTGTCGGCCGCGCGGGACAACGGCGGGAATCTCGTTACGTTCGAGACGCTGGACGAGCACCCGTCGAAGGAGCCGCGCAAGAGGAACCTGGACTACGAGGTGAAGATCACCAAGGAGATGGAGGAGACGTATCTGAAGCTGGCGGCGAGCCTGGACCCGGTGGCGCTGAGCCTGTCGAGCTCCAACGGCACCGAGCTCACGATCGAGAAGTACCGGAAGGATCACAGGAGGCTCCATCACGTACAGAGACTGCAGGACAAGGCGGGCTCGAAAGCTTGAATGTGAAATCTCGGCGAGACTCTTCGATGATTCGCTATTGAACTGTATCAGCAGGGGAGTTCCTTTAAAGATATAACAGAGCGTTATTTTTTGTATACCGTATTAACTAAGTAAGGCTGTACCAAGAGACGAATAGCTTTTAGGGTGAGGCGGAGAGTCCTATACACACACACACACTGCTGCTGCTAATCGGTTTCGTCCCGTTGTTTCCGTTGAACCGGCGCGACGATCAAGGTGCAACACGGCGCAGTAAGTCGGAAATGCCGACGTCAATAACGCGATCGGTGCTCGAGGAGCGCCCGGTCGGCAATAACGACGTGCTGAGTCGCACGAGGACTGCCGTGATTTTCAGACACTGTTCGTCGCGGTTCTTATCGGCCGATATTCTTTCTCGCGCTCGAGAAAACCAGCTCAAAGCTGGGCGGGATGTGGAATCTCAACGCTGATAAGTCGACCACGCCACGTTGACTGCGCTGGTCGTTTCAACGCTCGATTCAAGCTTGGGTCGCCAAGTGTGTGCGATAAGGTCCATGGTGCGCATAACGACGCAATTGACCGATCACAGTCGGTTGTTCTTCGACCATAGGGAGAATGATCGACTGTGATTGGTCAATTTTCCTACTGCTCCAGTCTCACCGTTTATGTTACTGTGTGCATGCCGTGGCTCTGAATAAATGCCTGCGGAGAAAAGCAGTTTTCTAAGCGCTTCGAGATTACTGTTTACGGCTGGAGTATTCTTCCGGATCTTCCGTAAGCCCAGAAGGATCTACCGATCAAAAGCAATAGTCGCAAAGCGCCTGCTAAACCGCTTTCTTCGCCGAACGCGAGCAGTGCGATTCGCGTTTATTTAATTTCTTGTACATAGTTGCTTACGTTTCACACTTAAGTCGGTGAGACGAGGAGGGCGACATTGTGGTGCCGTTCACTGATAATCATCATGGCAGTCGACGTGTCAGTCAATTGATTCGCGGTATTGTTCGCCTCTAAGAACCCCCGTCTATGTGTTGTTAGCATGTTGATAATTAGTCATTTTTACGGTGTACATAAAATGAATTTTCCGAGCTCGCTTCGCTCGAGAGAAAGAGAGAGAGAGAGTGAGAGGGAGTTGTGTACATTGGAAGCGGATAAATATACTGATTTATTTGATCTCAAATTATGTCACGCGCAAAATATCGATATGGTTGCTTATTATCGAGATACGCCGTGTTGCGCATTAGAACTCGCTACTGGATCCAACAAGCGCGCTTCTAACGAGGATTCACAACGTAGTGAGGCATATTTAAGTGTACGTTTAGTTTTCAACGGTTCTCTCGCAACGGAAAAGTGTAAATGAAAAAAAAAAAAAATATATATATATATATATATATATATATATTTTTTTTTTTCCCCCTTAAAGTCGAAACACGTACACGCGCGTTTGAGTATAGAATATATATTATAAAACGACAATATTGTAATTAACTTGCAGGAACTCCTAGGAAGTCTTGTTTCGGCAATATGTTACTTTTACGAAGTCCATCGTTGATGGAGGGAATTAATTTCGTCTCGTGATATAACAAGTATCCACATCCGTCATACCAAAGCTAGATATCACTTGCGATTAAGAATCTTCTTTAACTCTTTGCACACGTTATCGCCCTCGACATAGCGTTGATATTACCCGTCGACGGTTCGCCTGTTTCGCCGTCGTGATGTTTGAGACTAACATAATATTCTCCGTCGAAGATACCGAGGAAACAAGTGCTTGAAAATTTACTCGTGGGATATAAGGTTTATTTCACAAAAATAAGGTTTAATTCGCAGAAATAGAAGGTTTACTTTTTGCGAAATAAACCTTATATCCCACAGATAAATTTTTAAATATTTTCTCTCAGGTGCGCTCAGCTACTGTTACGATTTCGACCGTCGCGATGTCTCTTACGTGGACGTCAGATCTCTCTCTCTCTCTCTCAACGTTTCTTGCCCCATCACTATGAACGACACGTGTGCAAAGGATTAAACAACGGTCGGCTAATCCTTTCACAGCCTTTCCGCCGACGCGTAAGCGGGCGTAAGCGTAATTTAGTAATTTATCGCTAATTATTTGTCGCGGCGTTACCGGATGGTCCCGTTTACGGTCCGTAAATCCGACTCTGTGTTGAGATTGCAATAAGTTGACGAAGGAGTCGAGCACGAAGAATCGTTATACGATGGATAACCGCGTCTCCGTTTTCTCAAGGAGACATCCTCCGGGCTCAAGTGATTAAATCTCACATATATATACACACACATACATATAAATATATATATATACACATACACACACATACATACACACATATATATATATATATATATATACGCTACTTGACGCGCGTTAATTTAAACCGATTGGCGCGTCGTACAGCGAGAGATCGCTTCCACTTGTGCAATCTCAGCAATCCGTAGCCTTGCCACTGGCGTCACGTGCCCGAGACAAGAATGTTTTGTGATAGTGCGTAGAGAAAGAAAAAGAAAGGGAAAATAGGAGGAGAGATTCGCTCGACTTATGTAACGTTGGTCCGAAAGCGCTCGTCGTCGCATTCCACGCGCGTTATTTGCGGAGACGCGTGATCGCGTAATCTCATTGCGGCGTTTACGCAATTAACCGCAGCTCAGCTTCAGTGATATTGACAATCCGACTTAACTAACTCTGGTTTAAACGTCTCTCGCAACTCCCGCGCGGATTACGGTCTCACCTCTGATACAGATAAGGAAGGAGGTTAAATCAAATCGAAAGAAGGGAGAGGAAAACACTAAGGACGACTTTCGTCGAACACTTTGGCGAGTCATCGAAACAAAAATCCACCTTCGTCGAACTCTTTGGCGAGTCATCGAAACAAAAATCCACCTTCGTCGAATAAATCCCTTTCTCTCTTATTCGCGTATTTTCCTCTCGGTTGTCGCTCGACGGAGGGACAAGACCTTGGTGCTACTACGAGAATTAGGGAAAGTCGTGTGCGAAGGAGAATTTCGCGGTGGATCTCGCGGGCTCGATTCCCGATAAAGTGTCATTCAGCCGAATCGATCGCCGAATAAATAACCAGAGTTAGCGCTCAACCGACTCGTTTGGCGCGAGTCCCCCCCTCCCGTCGCTGACGGGGACGATGATTTCACTTTCGTTTTTTTCTTCTCTCTCGAGTACAGTATTAGTTGAACGCGCCGAGGGGCGACGTCTCGATACGCGCGGATACAAAGTGTGCGTGACAATATATACCTCAAGGCTTCTCTCTCGAATATCGCGCGAATACTCGCGCGCCGATCTTTTGTAAACTCTGTGGAGATTAGACGTGGGTCCCTCCCCCCCCCNGGGGGCCCCCCCCCCCCCCCCCCCCGTGTGTGTACGTGTCGTCGGCCATCGAGACGCGCGTCGTTGCGCGCAAAATCTGAAGTACGAACGCGCGCCGATCTGCCGCCGAATAGCGAGGCAAATCGACAAATGTGATACGGCATATCAAGGACGTTCCCGGACGTACTAATTAATAATATTATATAATAATATAATAATATATAATAATATTAATAATACGTCCGGGAACGTCATTAATGCGTCGAACCGTGCTCGCTCGGGTTTGGTCGACAGCGCGAGAAGAACATGTCTCTTCCATTTGCTCCGTGTATTGGATGATCGGTGCGAAAGATTTGTCGTTCCTCTGTCAAATTCTGACTCGTGTGCAGCAATACCGATTCGAATATATTAAAAAAAAAAAGGAGAGAGAGAACAAAAAGACCCCGTTTGACGTGCGAAGAAAAAACAATCACGAGTCGCTGTGTGTGCGTATGCATGTGTGCGGGTGCGTGCTGTTCTACTTTATTCGTATAGGAATTTTTAATATCTCGGAAAGTGAATGTGATTTCGTCGTCGATTTGATCTGTCGGGCAAACCCTTTGCACCAGCCTCTAACATCGTTCTCGTACGATCTTCGTATTCTCTGTACAAGCTAATCGGTCAGTCGTGGACTGCTGCGTGTTTAATCGACGAGCGATCGATCGAGTCAACGGAGTCGATCGGAATTCACCTCGATCCTTCGTTCTGACGCATGGAAGGAAAAAAGATCAGTATCAATTCGAGACTCATATTCTCGTATGCGAGCAGGAATAATATGATCTTGTATGGAATTTGCGCTCTTATATACGCGGCGAAACTCGATGCGGTTCCGCTAGAAACACATTCATATTACTTAAGAATAATTTTCGAATTCTCTCCACGAATTGTGAAGAGAATAGAATATCGAATGGAAAGAACGATATCTTCGAGCTAAGAATTGTACCAGCACTTGCGTTAAATCACGTAATAAACCACGATGCAGATTTGATACGCCAAAATACGTCTGTCTGCCTTGAAAGGATCCTCGGATGCATCTGACGCATCACGCGCATCACGCGGATTTATCTGAGGATATCCCATGTATGAGTCTCGAATTGACTTCCGCATGCTCCCCGCGGGCCTTACTTCCTCGTCCGACGTACGTTGTTCTTCTTCAGGCGCGCCGCTAATTTTTCCAACGCTTTTTAGAATAACTCGAGCGTATAGATGCGCTCTTTCCAAAGAGCCCTCCTCGCGAGAGGAGCGGAGGAGACAGAGGGGGATACGCGCGTTTAGTCTTAGGCATCCTGGCCGACGCCGATGTTGTCGGGTAAATGGTACTACGTATGGCGGGATCGTTCTCGTCGAAATCGACTGGGATCCTCCCCGACTCGATGATTGTTATTAGCCGGGCTGCGAAATCGCTTTTCTTCCTCTCTCGATATCTTTCCTCCCCTTCGATCTCTTTTCCTCCGTTCACTCCGCCTCGGCTCGCTCGGCAACCGTTGCGCGCGTTGCAAACCGCTCGTTAACTTCCGCTGCAACGTGCGTTAATCCGATCGGGCTCGAATCTATCGATCCCACGTGAATCGAACGGCGGCTGGTGTGTTCGATTAACGCGCGCGCGCTGATCCCGCTTTGCGCATCTCGATCATTCGAAGCACGTGCATTCGACACGGACCGATCAATCGTGTATCCTCGGGGGATCCCCCGTGTCCAAGCAATTCGCACAAGAGCAGTTCCTGGCTCGCAGTGGGAAAAAAGAAGAAAAAATAGAAGAGGAAAAATCGCGCAACTCTAGTTAAGGGTGAGATCGCGAGACCCGGTCGAACCGGGTAGATCGCAAGTAAAATTAATCCATGTATGACAGCCGTACCATTTACTCGCAGTCAAATGTATCATATTTAACGTGGCGATGATTACCACACATATATATAAGCGCTGTACATATATATATATATATATATATACATATATAAATAAAATATATTTAAAATGATATGTATTTCTCTCGTGTTCTGACTGTTGCAATAACATTTGAATTTAACATTTGAAACAGCGTTTTCGCTCACTGATTTTTTCGTTCATCAACGTTTTCAGTTATATAATATAGTTTGGACTTTTGCTTTTCAGAAAATAATTTCACCTGGCCAGCATCCATTATCCTCTGGCGTACCATGTTATCGGCTGGCGGTAGGCGAGATTGGAAAATAATTTTGCGAAACATACCTTTTCAATTCACCTTACAGAACGTATCTTTTTAATCGCCACACCTTTTTAATTAATTAATTAATTAATTAATAATAGTAACAAATAAAAAATTGAAAAAATAACAAAGTACATTACGTTGCCAAAAGTTCAAATTGTCGGAAATGATGATTCCTGCTATGATATGACTCACCTGATGTACGACAGATGTCACTCAAGATACGTATTCCGACTATTTTCCGGCGAAAAGGGCTGATCGGGAAATTTCGATTTTATGTTTTTTGAGTTCCTTGGATTCGAATTATCCTAAAAACGGCACTTGGTTCTTATGGATTTTAATATTTTCTGTAGCCCGGCCGGAAATGGGTTAATATCACTACTGAAGATCCTATACTCTACGATGCAGCTACCTTAAAACGTTTCGATCTTCGGTGCGCACGTCGTAACACTATCTGTGTACACTTGCCTATATATTCCGATCGATTACTCGAAAATATTAATCGCATATAAACTTCTGAGTGTTCCCGTTCACACGCTTTTACACTGCCAAAGATTTGCGTAATGGAAGTTCGTAACCATCGAAACCTACTATTTTGACTGATTCAAATGATCCCTCGAGTCGCACTTTGCAGTGTCATTTATGTGTATTTCTTTATAAATATACCGATTAATTATTGAAAATTTCAAAGAAACATTTCCTCTATCAAAATTAAAAAAAAAAACATTTCCTATCTCCTCTTCAATTAAATTCGGAGGCCTAAAAGGCTACGAGAAATTTGCAAAGAATGTTTACATATCCCGGTTAGATTTTCCTCGGATAGATAAGTGCTTATACAGCACAAACCTCCAGAGGACGTCTTTATACCTTAAAGACATGCAATAAATAAAGTGCTGTATGGGTGTTAACGTAATAACAATTTGTCATCGGTTTTCGGCGATGATCTCTTGATGATTTACGATCGTCGAAAGTCAACTCAAAGTCAACATTTTCGAGGATTTTCTGACGCGTCAAGCGAATCATGTCCTTCGCCACCTTTCGCCGCTCAAATATTTGATCTCGGCGTGTACTCGCGTGTAGGAACGGTGTGTTCGCTTCGACGATGATGATGATGACATAGGCAAGGCAGCGGGCTCCGTGTATCAGGCCGTGCCCAGTTCCCGTCCAATCAAGCTAATGTTCCAATAATTCGGACGGGAGAGAAAGACAGAGAGAGAGAGAGAGAGAGCCGCTTAACCCCTTTCCGTGCCATTTAGCTCGACAAAACTCGGCCCAAGCGGTAGGTATTGACGCGCGCTAAACAGACCAGACTGATGCTTGTAAACAGTCGCAATACGATCCGAAATGTAGAAATCAGTCCGCGAGCTCGGCTTGTTATGTTTACGTTTGGCCCAAGTATGTGTTCGCGAGTCTGACTCGCGATATTTATGTTTGGCCCAAGTATCTCTTCGCGAGTCAGACTCGCGATGTTTGGCCCAAGTAACTGTTCGCGAGTCAGACTCGCGATATTCATGTTTGGGCAAAAATCTTCATCGCGAGTCTGACTCGCTAAAGTACGGGAAGAGGTTAATGAATGAATGAACAACCTCACCCGGAGAGAGGTTCGATTATAGATATGCGGCCCTTTTATACGTAACACGCTGTGTATTCCGCGGCGATCCCACCTGTCACAGGTATCTGCGCAGCCTCGCCGAGAGGGCGGAAGAGGGTGGAGAACACGTGGGTGTTGTTGCGTGCGAGGCTCGCGGGTGCGCTTTTGAACCGGCTCAGGTGTTCGATTGCGCTCGACAGATCGCTCGGATCGCACGACAACGACTCTCCAGCGAGAAAGTTGACGCTTTTTCGTCACGAAATGCCGTGTCGCGTTTCCCTCTCTTCCTCTAAATATGTCCGCAAACGTGTGAGAGACGAGCCAGTGTGACGTCGGCGAAATTGATCCTCCGAGTCTCCGGTTCGCCTTCGGAACTTATCGTTTGTAACTTGGTTTGTAACAAAGTCAGTGCGATTAGTTCCGTTAAGTGTGACCGCGTAGATTCTCCGGTTATTTCAGCTCGTTGGCTCGAACCTAGTCTGCGCGAACTTACAGGTGCACCGGGTCGAGATGTGCGATAAGCCTTAGTTTCTAGTTTTTAACTTTTACCTTTCTCCCTCCCATATAGATTAATCTTCGCAGACGTTTCGAGTGCCCTGTACTCCGCTTCAGATCTCATACGGGACTGTGACACCTGTCGCACACTGATTTGATTATAATGACACACGTAGCTCTTTGAATCGCGCTCTTTATCTTACATTTGACTGAGAAAAAACTGAGAATTTAGCTCTTTTCTTTCCTTTTTTTTTTTTAACAGGCAATGCAAAATCGGTGTG